TTCCCGGGGACCAAGGTGCAATTGGCAACATGTCCTCTATCTTCACTAAAAATTTCAGCTTTCTAGCTTGAGCCGTTTTTGAGTACCATCGCAGACAAGGAGGTCCTCTAAATTTCGATCAAAGGGCGATAACTTCTGACCGGAAGTGATTTTTTCAAAATCGAAGCGCCGGTACAAACTTCAGATAGAAACACATAAACTCTGAAAATTTGAACGAAATCGACCGAGCCATCTCCGAGAAATCTTCTGCACAAAATCGGTAAGGAAAAAAAAGAATAATAATAAAAGTGAAAAAAAGAAACCGAAGAATATAGAAGGGTCTTCCGCCGAGACGGATACCTAATAATAAGAAACAGAGTAAAACAAATACGTTCCCCAACTTCGTTTGGGAACATAATAAGAAACAGAGTAAAAACAAATATGTTCCCCACTTTGTTCGGGAATACATAGAAACACAAATACGCTCGCCTTTTCCAAGGAAAACTTCCAAATGAAAAGGAAAACACTTCCCAAAACCATTGTACACAGTATATATACACAGAATAGCGCAATAGAGACACATCCAAGGAAAGCATATGTCAAAAGACGGAGCGGATAAAGGACACGTCCATTCACTACACCGTCACGTGACTTCCCACTTTGTTTCTGATTTAATATAGGTTACTCAACTTGGTTTACATTTTACATTCAGTGTACATCTCTAAGGCCAAGAGATAAAAACTAGTGGAACCTAAAAGGGTGATGTGAGAAGATCGAATGAATATACAGTAAAACTTGATCATTAAAAAATCCCTTATCCCTATTCATGCACATGAAGAATATGAAAAGAAAACCTTAATGTCCGTTACAAAAGCATGGGATTTAAAGGGCAAGAAGTGAACACACGATTTCCTGCTGTTGTAAAAGAGTTTGTCTACAACTTGTTCTTGGACGGGGAAAGAAATGGTAGGAAGTACAGCCCGACAGAGGCATCAAAATTGATCAGATGTGCTCGTCGGAGGATGGCCATCGGAAGTTTCCTTCAGAAGACTTTCTGAGTTCTCAGCAAGTTCAAAGCTTATTTTCAAGGTTCAATCATCCTGCATTGCAAGCCAGTAAGATGACGAAGACCTCAATGCAGTTTTACATCATCTTGAACCTGAACAAAATGAAAGAAAGCTGATCCAATCACTATGTGAAATTGAGCAGGAAAAATAGAAACATCACCAAAATCACTATACCATTAATTCTAAGAACCTTTCAGCTTCGGTGGTACCGTGGCTCAACGTTATAGTTGACAACTTGCACGAACGATTCCGCACAATTAACAAACGATCACCCTGTTACGCGACAGATCTTTCACGTTCACGATTCTACACATTACACGATCTTACACGATTGTTAACGCAAACGCACGCGTACGATTCTTTACGCAAAATAGTACAAATTATTTAGGAATCAAACATTTTCCGAAACGAAATACGGCTTATTACTTATTCAAGATTTCAAAGAATTATCAATATTATTTCATAGACGTTGAAAAAAAAAAACGGAAAATGATATTTCTGTAACTAAATATATGCAAGACTTAATATTTTAGATTAAAATAATTATTTTTTAGGTAATTCTCCGATACAAAAAACGGATTTTGTTCGTTCTATCAGACAATGTACATGTATGTGGGTCGTATAATTTGATTGAACTAGATAATTATGATATGCAGAAAGGGGGATACGATTGAACAAAAATGGCAGCATGGAATGACTTGAATTGTAATTACAAATTTTATCCTTATTTTTCCATTGATTCAATGTCTGATAAACTTGCCAATTATTCAACTTTTTCATTTGTAGAAATTTAAAATTAATTAATTACAAATAGGCTCAATAGATAAATACAGATAATAAAAACTTCCGAAAATCATGCCGTGTCCATGTGTATTTGTCGACTAACTATTTATGTAGGCATTGAGAAAGTATATTTCTTTGTAAAAAAAAATTATTTAGTTTCATTGAATTGATTTCACGATTATCCTGACCATAATAAGAAGCAAATAATAATTAAAATAAGATTTTTCGAGGTGACGTAAGTCAGCCTCGATAGCTGCTCTACAGCTTAATGGCGGACACCTGTGATCACTACTTTTTGCATTTTCTTATTGATATTTGTATCTTTGTGACAATTAGTAATCCTGTTATTAAAATATGATACTTAAGGAGGCAAGGATCAATTCAGAGATAGGTTGCTAATATGTCAACAATAGCACTTGCAAGATTGATTGGAAATATTAAAACGTTAATTTTTTATCAGTTCTCTAAGAAATATAGTCCTCTGATTACGCATGCATTCAAATCAAATATCCAGTCACAAAACAAGATCTACAATGTATTCAATTTAATTTCCAAGTGATAATTAATGTTTTAATGGATTTACAAATACTAAAAACAAGTTCTTGACTAGGAATAAGATATGAAGTATTCCTACGCTCTGAACTATTTTAGCGCGGGTCAAATGTAAACAACTGGCTGCAGCAGAGATTGTGACCTACATGTATGTGTATTGAACGTCGATCGCAGGCAAGGAAGAGAACAGAACAGAATACACTAAAACAAAACAGAAGGAAGAGTTCTGCTTGAATTTAAACATACAATTAAGAAATAAAATTTGGAGTTAACATAGAGGCGTCTGAAGCGTAATAGTCCTTATTGAGCTAAAAATTCACCGTGATTTATTACAAACGCGATACTTATTTTTGCACTTCACCATAAATAATCACAAAAGCGAAGTTAATTTCACACTTTGTTTTTATCATTCATTAAAAGAAATCTATTTAGAACGTAAAAATATCGTCCCGGTCTTAATTATAAATCTGTTTTGTACTATCACTGTTGAAAACGGTGAATTACAGCGAGACACCTGTACCTATTTCCCTGTATGCTACTGACCACTTCATCGAATACTCGGTCGGAACACCTCTGGAATTTAGGATTACGCAAGTTATACACGACAAGACTTAACACAGCTGGACATCTATCGATGTCATACCGAATACATAATAATTTATACTTGTAATTAAGTTATTATTGTGTGTTTTCTTCTATTTATAATTTTAAGAATTCAAAGAAAAAAGAAAAGAAAGTAATTATAAGGAATTTGAAAACGAACTTTGAAGAGGATGCATTGTAAAAACATTAGATTGATAATAGCGAATAATTTGTTTTCAAGCTGTACACATAATATATTTTTTAACTATACCTTATGCTAAGCGTTTTAATTTGATAGTAGTACTATTTTAAATCCTAATCTTAATCAAAATATATTTTTATATTTTGAGTAGATGGCCGAATTCAGTCACTAATTTAAAGCGAAATCACAATTAAATCCCCTAATCTACGATCTAAGATCTACGATTCTGAAATGCAGGGTTTGCAATTTTTTTTAAAATGTCAAAATGGGACTGCTTTTGGCTTTAAAAAATTCTGAAGAGAGAATTTTTTTTATATATACATATTAAATGCTAGCATCGATGCTCCGGGGCACTTTTGATCTCATTTCACTTTTACCACGAAAAAATTACTACATGTAGTACATGTATTTGGGGAAAAGTGAGTGAGATTAAGAGTGAGCTCATCTAAGTTTTATGGCCCCAGAGCATACATGTTGCAATTTCGAAAATATGACACGAACATTATTTTCTTTTTCATACATTCATATATGTATGGCAGAGATTCTTTTGTTAGAATTTTTATATTTGTATAACTGAGCATTGCCAAAACCTCTAAATCCGTCACTATACCTTACCTCCATCACTTTTCTGAAAGTCAACGCAGTTACAGTCATTTTTATGAATTCCAGTCTTAGGCTCCTGTTTGTCGATATTTATTGTCTTTGTGGTGTCTTTAAAATTAGTCACTGTCGTATATCCATTCATGTTGTCACCGCTTGATGGGAAAGTCTTCAAGAACAGAATTTTCTACACAAAATTATTCCTTGGTCTTTGATAAAGTGCACTGGCAATCCATTAACTGACACAGCATTGTCAAAAGACGTCTGCACCGCGGTTCGCGCTTCTCTACTGCATTCATTAGCCCAGCGGTTAACTGATTTTTACTGGTGCTGCCCCGGCATCAAAAGCAATCTGGAGTTTTTCGTTTCTCCTTTGTCATAACAATATTCCATACAAAAATCACACTGTGATATTCAAGTTACTGTTTACCCGCGGAGGATACAAAATACCCCTCTCCTTTTAAAACCCCTTACACCAGAGCATCTTTGCAGTGCTCTGCTGTGAAACATTGGCCGTATGATGTATAGTCGGTAGAAAAACGGAACGTTTTATCAGTTAATATATAATTTGTACATTACGCAATTCATAGAAGAGATGAGTAAAACAATAACCTCATTATCATGATTTGATTCCAGTATGTTGTCGATATATTGTGCAAGCTTTACATTCCTCATTGGTCTATTCTAGATGAGTAAGCTTATAGCTTACAATTAATTGATTTTATGTATATGATTTTTGGCCTTTCCAAACAAATGATTCATAAACGTTGTTTAAGAGTATGTGTGGGCCAGTTGCCCTCTCTCTCTCTCATATACACACACATACAGGTCAAAGCCATGCAGCCTTTGGAAAGAGAGGAAAAACCTTTTCTAAGACACAGTGAGTATACATGTACATAATATATAGTCTGACTCTCTGATTAAAATCTGCCTTTTATTGAATTTTCCAGGTTGCCTTGTTAAAAGTAAATGTATTTTCTTTAACTGTGTAAAATTTTATTCTCATCCTATTCCTCGCTCTGAAATACCCTATGCTTTCTATGTCAAGCCACTTCAAAGTGTTGTTATTAGAAAATCGGGATCGGCAATCAGAATATTTAAAATGGACCTGGATGATGTGAGTAGAATTCAGTTGTATATACATACATTTTTTTAATGCATATTTATTTTACTTGTCATGGCTTTCTTTATAGAAAATATTGCATCTTCATAATTATTTTATTTGATTATTCAATTTTTTATTGTTCAACATACTTTCAGAGCCCAGATAATCAAGTAATCACGAGGAGAGGTAGATACTTTGTCAAGAGGCGGGTCAACAGGGAACATAATAGTAATTTCAATGCCGGGTACATCAACATTGATGAGCAGTATCTCCACAGGACTGGGGTCAGAGGTCGTAAAGTCTACGTTCTGTATTGCCTTATCTTCGTTCTGCTTGTTCTAGCTCTGCTGAATATAATGGTAAATAAATTATTACTGATCGAGAGGACACGTCTATAAATTAAGTTCTTTTTCATTCATATAATATATACATATATTAGCGAAATTAAGTTGTAAAAGGGGGGACAGTTGTTTGGCTTTTACAGGTACTTGATTTTTTATTTTTATTTTGATTTTAAATACCTGTAATAATAAATTATAAAAGATTAATAGATAAATAAAAATATTGTCAATTAGAAGAAGAGTAAATTGTTTTTTAAGAAAAAGTTGTCATCAAAGAGAGTTTATTATGTAAAGGGTACAAAACTAAAAAAAAAACAAAAAACACTGAAATTTTTTGTTTCCCCCTCTCACTTGATGTAAATCGGTCTAGTATTAACAGGTATTTTTATATTATTGCTTAGATGACAGTTGGTATCCTGTACATGCTGAGAGTGAACACAGAAGGAGTAGAAATGTTGGAGTTTATCCCTGACAACAACCTGTTACGATTTCTGGCAGAGACCACCTTTCCCTCTATCAGTTTGTTCCAAGGTGGAGTTGGCAGCAGACATGATTCTTCATTAGACATAGATTCTGGACAACAGGTAACTTTATTCACGTGATATTGAAAATTATTCATGTCACAGATGTGTGCAAAATAAATTTTAAGTGAATATAAATGTCATAGTATATAAAAATTCTCATTTGTAAAACCAAACTGAAAAAAAAAAACATAATCACTGCTCAGGAAGATATTTTCAAAATGCAAAGATGGCCATTGGGAGGTAACTCTCATTTTCGTACTGTCTTATAGGGAAAAAATTAACACAAAGTTATCTTATGGCATGTTTTCATACACCAAAAAAATTACAATGCGTAACTAAAAAAATGGTGCTTTTAATATTTCAGTTCCACCATTTTATAAATTTTTTTTTTTCAGCTATTAAGTATTTCAATGGAGGTCACAATTTTAAAAATATTAAAAAAAAAAATTCTTAAGTTTGATTTATTTTATTAAAATGAAAAGAAAACTGCTAATAGATTTTGAGTACTTTTGTGTTATTTTAGATTGTTATAAATGCATCCTCTTTCAAGAAGAAAGATGTTGAAGGTAAGTATATCGATAATATTATTTATTTCTGGATAAAAACCCATTTATAAATGAATATTTCAATTATACATCTATTTTTTTTAGCTCACCTCGACGAAGTCGAGATGAGCTTATGCTATACCCCCGGCGTCCCAGGTTAAAGTTTTAGGAGCAAGTCCATTCCCAAGTAACTATAAGCCCTACCTGAACCAAACTTGCATGGATGATGCAACTAGGGATGTACACTACAAGACTTGCTTCGGATGCTAGATCTGACCTACATTTTCCAGATGAGTGACCAGGTTAAAGTTTTTGGAGCAGGTTAAAGTTTTTGGAGCAGGTCCATTCCCAAGGAATTATAAGCCCTACCCAGACCAAACTTGCATGGATGATGCATCTAGGGATGTACACTACCAAACTTGCTTCGGATGCTGGATATGACCTACATTTTCCAGATGAGTGACCAGGTTAAAGTTTTTGGAGCAGGTCCATTCCCAAGGAACTATAAGCCCTACTCGAACCAAACTTGCATGGATGATGCATCTAGGGATGTACACTACCAAACTTGCTTCGGATGCTGGATATGACCTACATTTTCCAGATGAGTGACCAGGTTAAAGTTTTTGGAGCAGGTCCATTCCCAAGGAACTATAAGCCCTACTCGAACCAAACTTGCATGGATGATGCATCTAGGGATGTACACTACCAAACTTGCTTCGGATGCTGGATCTGACCTACATTTTCCAGATGAGTGACCAGGTTAAAGTTTTTGGAGCAGGTCCATTCCACAGGAACTATAAGCCCTATTTGGACCAAACATGCATGGATGATGCATCTAGGGATGTACACTACCAGACTTGCTTCGGATGCTGGATCTGACCTACATTTTCATTCCCAAGTAACTATAAGCCCTATTTGGACAAAACTTGCATGGATGATGAATCTAGGGATGGACATTACCAGACTAGCTTCGGATGCTGGATCTGACCTTTATTTACATTCCCAAGTATCTATAAGCCCTAGCTAAACTAAACTTGCATGGATGATGTATCTAGGGATGGACACTACCAGACTTTCTTCGGATGCTGGATCTGACCTACATTTTCATTCCCAAGTAACTATAAGCCCTAGCTTAACCAAACTTGCATGGATGATGCATCTAAGGATGGACACTATATGACTTGCTTCGGATGCTGGATCTGACCTATATATTCCATACAAGAGACTTGGTTAAAGTTTTGGGAACAGATCAATCCGAATGAACTTGAAGACCTTGATATATGCAGTATTAACAGTTATGAATATTTGTTTACACTATACATATACATATTTTTCACGCTACAGGCTTAGAAATGTGTATATGCCATGTAAGGGGTTAAACACAACTTGCAAGAATATTAAAACGAAATTTACACGATTCTAAACGCACGATCTCTCACAATTAAAAACGCACACGATTGAGTCTGATACACGAACGATCTTACACGTTAAACGAACGATCGCTCACGATACACGAACGATTCTACACGATTGGTTTGTCAACAATTACGTTCCAGCCACTGTATTTGAATTTAAACACTCTGCACCTGTGGTGCCCGACAAGTATCGCCAGTATTTAAAGAACAAAATGTCTACTGAATGTTGTAATACAGCTGTCTCTCAGAGCTTGGTAGGTTCAATTTTGCGTGGCCTGCGGATTTCAACTTAAGTATTTATTAGGGGTTATAAATACTGATTGTATAGTTAAACTGCACATACTGTTCCTGCCATGCAAAGTTTCACAACAAAGGGATTGTAAGTTACAGAAACTTTTATTATACCTCATATAAATAAACACAAGTAAAAAGGAATCTGATTGGCTGAGGCAGTCATATGACCGTCGTGTTCGCCCTGCAACAAAACTTCGTGTTTCCCGCATTCGGTTCACCTCGGCTGACTACGCTATCCTACATCTAGATGAAGGATATGGAATAACGAACAGTATTCAATCTCAACGCCCCATAAACAAATATACAAATAAGAGCAGAGCAAACACGGACCCCCGAAACATCAGAGGTGGGTTCAGGTGCAATAAAGTATAATATTGAATGATAAAGATACTCGGTAGCTTTAGTTTAGTCAGGATGAATTTAAAACATCATAGTTGACTCCTCTACACAGACATCGCAACTCTTAAGTCTTTTTTTCAGATTTAGTTCCTTGTTGCATATAACGCTTGACACATTTGATACTTCTGCGACAAGGCAAAGGAAAATATGCCATTGGACGAGATCAAGGTCAAAACCAAGATTGAAGTGCAGGTGAACAACGAACCTCAGATAGCGAGATGAATGTCATCATCAGTGAAGCAAAAAGAAAGTTTGAAAAGTAGTTTGATGCGAGGGTTTAAGAAAAAATAAGTATATATTCAATCTATGACATACATAATGCATCCAAATCGATATATCCTTATAGAGCGTATATTGTTTTGTCTCATTGTCCGTTTGTCTCGCTGTTGTTAACTTTAACTTGGATTATAAAAGTTCTTTAGGAACACGTCACAGGGAAGGAATTAAGCGCCTGTTTTTCTTCCAACAAAGAGTTGCAGTAAGCACCTATAAATAGTTACAAGATTGGTGTTCAAGATGACGAAGAATCTTAAAAAAAAAGGAAGATGATGATGTTTAGATTGGAGGAGCCACATCTTACGAACCAATCACTAAGATAGTTACAGAGTTGAAAGATTGCAAAATCGTGGTGAGAACCAGGCATTGATTGTTTTAGACCGGATTATGAAGTATCTTTAAATTTGAATACTTTTACAGAGAAGCAGTCGTATTGGTTTGCCCAGAAAGGAATGACTTCGCATGTCAAAGCATATGCATGTACTTTATAGGCATATATGGCACCATTAAGTTATATTGTTTCTATGAGTATATCGTCATGAATGAGTACGTGGTTGGTAATAATACTTTTTTCAGAGGTACATCTTGAATGTAATAGATATCTTACTTTTAAATTAATATTTCCTAATCAACTTTATTGATGGAAGGATATTGAGATAAAGAACATAATTCAATGTCAAAGTCCATTAAACAAATCAAAAAAGGAGCAGAGAAAACACAGACTTCCGAAATGTAACTAAGTACAACTTACTTTGTTTATTTAATACCCAGAAGTAGAGAAGAAGATTTTCAAAGAATTGTTGCATTTTCACTATATAATCTATTTAGCCCCGCTCTAACACAAGAACTCCTGATCCTCAGACAATAAAATTCACATTTTGCAGATTATATTGGCGTTGAAAAGTCTATGCCTTGAAAACCTCCACTGGCCCAAAAGTAAATCTTATATTATTAGCCAGGCTGAAGGCAGTGCTGAAATATTTTACTGGCAGGTTGTAAAACGCCTCTACCTACTTCTTCTTTTCCTCTTCAAGGTGAAGGGAAGTTTCCATGATCTATTATAATTGAATTATATATTGATAAAGCCAATTTATAATTTATATCAGCTGTTTCTGTGTGTTTTTGTTTATTACTTAGGATATGTATAGATATTGTCCAACAAGGTATGAGGTAACTACAAATGTACTATCGAGTCACTTTTCAGCTCGTATCCGTAGATGTCTGAATACACTGCTTTGAGAATCTTAAATCTTCCTCCTGTGTTTAGTTTTGCTGCCATGTTGTCCTTAAAAGTCGACATAGTTTTAATTTCTGCAAGGACGGAGAAAAAATACTTGACGGTCTTTCCCGAAGGGGAAAATCTAGACTTGATATGTCTTGTGTCCCCATTTTCTTGGACCAATATCGAGATGTTCTGAAAAAAAATTAAAACATTAGTTACTTTCAGTGGGTGAAGGGGAACATACAATTTTTAATTTCATGATCCCTACCCCACTGGGGTCCGAGACAGTGGGGCCAAAACCACTAAAATTAATGCAATCTATAAAAATCTTCTTCTTTACTACTAGCCCATAAGCAATCAAACTGTTTGCATGATTGTAATTAGTTTTGAGCCCTCTACCAAAATTGTGAAATTTATGGCGCTGGGGTCAGGAGTTTTAGTGCTAGGACGGGGCTAAAACAATTATATAGTGAAAATGCATTATTTCTTTGAAGTTTTGTTCTCAGCTCCTGGGTATTAAATAAACTATCGAGTACAAATTAATAATGAGCAAGATTGCTTATACCGAAATTGTTATTTATATGGCTGCAGGGTCAGGAGTTCTGGTGTTAGGGCGTGGCATAATTGATTAGATAGTGAAAAAAAAATCTTTGAATCTCTGCACCTGTGTATTGATGTTCATGATATATTAGCCTCTTTAAATGCTATATTGCTGTAGTTTTTAATGTTTTTAACTTTTATTAGACTTTCTGTACTTGTGAATTTCAAGATTTGAGATGTAAATAAATAGATCATGGACTATTTACCTAAATACCGGTATTGAAGTCTTTGTATCCTGATATGTATCTCACAATGAGAAATTGCATTGAAATCTCACTTCATTACTTGAATATTTATACATGCTTCAAAGTGTTTTATGTGTTAAGTCTTTGGGGTGTAAAAATTGATTTTGTACTATTTTATGAATGTTACATTTTAAATTGCACTGAACGTTGTCTGCTAATTGTCTGATTTTTTCATTTAGTGAGATAGTTGACTATGTATCAGTTTCAATTTACAGTAATTTTCATTGTCCTTTCTTTCTTACATTTTGGTTAACGTGGAGCTGCCAACATTTTTAAACGGAAAATAGTAAGGCGGGGTCAGTAAATTACCCAAATCCCACGTAGCTGTAAATGTTTTGTAAATGGACATGCAATGGGAGCACATTTTTCCATTTTGTTTACTTTAGAACATTGACACTGAGACGATTAGCCTTTTAAAAGTGAAATGATGATACAAGTATGCATTTTAAAGATTTCGATTGATTGTATATTGTTTAACGTCCCTCTCGAGAATTTTTCACTCATATGGAGACGTCACCGTATGCCGGTGAAGGGCTTCAAATTTTGACCTTTACTCGGCACTCAGGGCCATTGAGCAGTGAGGGATCTTTATTGTGCCAGCGCCTGCCGCTGACACGGGGCCTCGGTTTTTAAGGTCTCATCCGAAGGACCCGCAATTTTCACTTCAAAGTGCCGAGCGCATGGCGAAGGAACAGTTGCTACCCATTTTAACGACTAGGTCGGTCGCGGCCGAGATGCGAACTCACGACCTCCCGATCACGAAGCGAGCGCTCTTAAAGATTTCGAATATTCAATAATATTTGTATAAAGTGAAATCGTTCAATAATATTTGTATAAGGTATAGACAACCAGTTAGGAAAATTCCGTTATTGTTAACTTTGATAAAGGAATATCGAAATCCGAAGTATATTTCGCGATATCGTTTGTGATGTGCATTTAAACGCTTGTTTCACCTTACTCAAACATTCTAAAGGTTGGTATGTCTGTTTTTGTATTAGCAATTGTACAGTGTATATATAATATGATCATGAAACTTACAACTGATTACTGGCCAATCGTCACAGTGCCATCTTGCAACGTGACAACTTTCATCACAACACAATTTTGACCAGTTTTGATGGTGTTTAGAGTTTTTTCGTGGATCAGCAAGGCCTTGACAGGCCTGCAGACAGTGTCTGAAGAGACAATGTAGGTTGTGCCAAACTGTGTGCCATTTGCATAACTTTTCATCTGGACGTTTTCAAGGATGTGAACTGTCATGATGGGGGTCCCTTAAGACCTCATTTCGAACGGTCTCTTTTTCCTTTGCTTATGCGGCATTTCAGGGGTCTTCGTGAAAATGGAATTATGCCGGATTTTGGGCGATAAGGTCATCTACTGAGAATGCTGAGAATGTCTCCAGTAGCTTCATTGGAATAGCTCAACAACTCGGGGTCAATACAAAAGTCCGTTGCATCCATTTGATTAAATCCATCGTCACTCGCGATGTCCTCAGGAATGTCATTTACAGACCAAGTTTTCATCGGAATTTAGTGAGTAAACTCTTCCGTTGGATGATATGATTTCGTATGCAGGATCCATTACAAAACCATGTTTCAGTTCTTTTATTTGATACGACATCTTTATCGGCCTTCTGAATATGAGAGTTCCAAATAGTTTGCAAAGAAAACGACAAGCTAATACAAATTTCTCCCAATGTTTGTAATCTTTCACAGCTGGTAGTACTCCAGTGAAAATGGGGTTGTCCAATTTTCCCATGCAGCAGTCGAAAATGCACCATTATTTTCAGAAAAACGTGAAGGGATTTTCCCATGTTAGTTGAAGAATTTAGAGTTTCTAGTCTTTGAAGGGACGTTCTATAGAATGGGAGTCTTGATCCAGGTTGGATTTCAATACTATGTTTGTGCAAATCTGTGGACTGTTTTCTCTTACTCCAAAGTCTCTTCTTGTTCATTCTTAGGCCATGCACCTTTGACATTACCCCAGGTGAGAGAAGGGCATCCTCATTAACCTTATATAAAGTATATACAAGTACTATATATAAGAATTCTAAAATACACTTAATTATACTGGTAATATAATTATTGTAATACATGAATATTGATGACACATGTAAAGATGATGTATACGTGGGTACTGGTCAGGTTAATAATCATTAATGGTTTGTTTATGATAAGATTTACATTTTTTTTTACCTTATTATGTTCCCCAAACGAAGTTGGGGAACATATTGTTTTTACTCTGTTTCTTACTATTATTATTATTATTCTTTTTTCTTCTTATTTCTTCTTCGGTACTTTTGATGAGCAGGGGATAAATGACTTCTCTTAAATATTGTGTTTACAACCCATGGCAAACAGCTAGTGGAGGGCACTTGAGCAATTTCTTAACCTTAACAGTTAAACCATCTTAGCAGTTTAGAATATACATGAAGTTGTTAATCTTAAACTTCATTGAACTGCTATTGGTACTTGTAATTAGTTGGGACCACAAAAAAAACAAAGTTTTCTAAGCATTACCAGTTGTTGTACTCCCCCATGCATTGCAGTTATGAAACAACAGTAAAATAAAACTGCCTTCAGCTGTTTGAAATTCATAAAACTGCTGAAGTACTACTTAATAACTGCCTATATATGCAGTTCAATTTTCCATAGGAAAATTAACTTAAATACATGTTGAACAAACATTGACAGGCACACAATAAAAAAATTTCCACATACAAATTTTTAAGATTTTAATTCTATGGATAAATGCCTTACTACTCACCGGTTTTTAGGTGCTTTAGAGGCAACCATATTGTTGAAGTTTTCGTTGCTTAGAGTAGAACCCAGATGTATAAGTTCAGGGAGCATTCTCTTTAAGCTTGAAGTAATGTTGTTAAGGGCATCCCTCAATGAGTCATCCTTCAGAGGTTTCCCACCTGGGAGATATTTCATTCTGTTGGAAAAAAGTCAAGGTCAATATTTCAATTAAAGGAACCCGTACCAAACATTCTAACCAATGCTCATGAGCAGCTCATGAGACTCACATAAGACTCTGGTAAGAAGTGTATGCAAATTGGGTAGAATTGGATTTTGCTCATGTGCAGATTGTTAGTCTCTGTTAGGGAGGAAAATACTAACCAAAATGCACATGTGCAAAATTATGCTCACCTCAATGCTCATGAGCAAACAATAATTCAAATTGCTCACAAAAGCAACAAGCTATACAAATATATTGCCCGTGGTGGATAAATTTTTCGAAGTTCAAATTTCTCAAGTGAGCAAGAGGTAAGGAAATCAGACTTAGTCAAAATAAGCAGCATCACAGTAACATCCAAGCAAAAATTTTACAAGTCCTTTTTCCTCACGTGAGCAATTTGAATTGCTCATGTGAGCAAATTGGACTTAGTCATTTCATTGATGAATTGGACTTACTCATTTCATCGATAAATTAAATATGTTTGAAAGTTTATGCATCATTTAAGGTGCAGCAAAAAACAATTTTAGCTAACACTAATATACTTTTAAAAACAAACAAACAAAAACTTTAACTTGTTTTGATTTTTGTTTTATAAATGTTCAGTGAACTATGTACATGTATATATAATTATAAAAGTACTAATACAGATATGTCATTTTTCAATAGTTATGCATGATTGACTTATTTAACTCATTGCGTATTCCATGTATATACACAGTTTTGATCAGTCTTTTTCCAGCATATTTGGGATCATGGCAAGATAACAAACTGGTTTTCCAGTCAGTGGTAACATGACACATAAATCAAGAATATTCTCTACAGGAATAGCTACTGACTGAGTTGTGTTATCCGGGGCATTGCAAACAAATATATGTTCCATTAATTCCTGATCCGTCACGTCGTCCCGCGGAAAACGAAATGTGTCGTCATTGTTGACATTCAGTGGGTTTACAATTGCAACAGTATAATCCCTTCCTTTGGACACAGAATGGTATTGCACATAGAGCCTGATCATTCCAAACTTAACCAGTCCTTGCGTAAGTTGATATCTAATTGTAAAACTGTTCCTCACCCGCACATGAGTGTACTCTTGGGAATGAAAAATTCTATTACCTTTTTTTCAATCTTTTAAATATTTTGACAGGACCATCCAGCGGCTGATTCATGAAGTTTGCCAACGCAACATATACATCTTGTGATAAGTCGTGTGGGTTTTTTTCTGTCGTCTTTCCCATGATGTACACATGCATTCTCCTGTATCAATGTAATATTTTTGCCAGATTTTTTTTAGAATTTTATTCAAAAGTTCCTCTTCTTTTGAACCTTGAATGATGCAGTTTTTCCGAAGAAAAGGCATGCCATGGGTAACAGAAATTGAATCTATTATTTGAGATTCGACTGACTGTGTTCCTTTCACTAATTTAAGTAGATAACCATTTGCATCCTCGAAAGGAAAACATGAATAACTCATAAAGGACCTAGGTTTCTTACATTAGCCGGCAGATGTAACAATAAATGCAAATTGAGTGGCATACAGCGATCTTCATAGAGGTCCGCAAATCTTCAAACAAAATGTTCTAAGAAGTTTTCTGCTCTTGAAATATCGTCGCTACTTATTGAATCTTTAAGAAGCAGAAATAATGCATTACTGAACAATAATAAAGGTTCATAATGTTCCTTTGGTAAAATACCAAGAAGAATAATTGGAGCGTAAAAGAGCAGCCAGGACCTGAACTCGGATGCTTTCCAGTATTTCAGATCATTAATAGACCTTGGTTTTCTTTTGATGTTTAAAGGTGGTTTTATATTTTCCAGTCTTTCGTTAACAGACTGTAATTTTTCTGACACGTTGAACTCTTTTCCGCTTGAAGATTCTAAAAACCAAAGTGAAATCAATAACTTTGTAATCCCAAGTAATACACAATGCATATAGTCTATGCAGTTTCCACGAACAAAGTCATTGGATTTGAGACTTGTTAACCAGCAAGGGCCTTTAATTCCACATTCTGTTTTGCCTGATGTCAAAGCTTGTTTTGCCAGGTTTAAAGAATCTTCATGCGTTCTTTCAGGACCAACCGGATTTTCAAACTGGAACGGAAATACTTGACATCGACCTTTACCCGAAGTTGCAGATTGCCCAGGCTGAATGCAGCAAGGACAGCTATATTTTCCATTGTACTGCATCATGTTACATACGGCACATTTTGCGGGGAGATCAGCTGTTCCTGCTAGCAGTAAACCTTTTACTCTAATGATTTCATTTTATCTGTCGGTACAGGTACACCATTTTCTAGTGATTCCAAATCTTCGATAAAATGTTTTAGAAAAGTCATCATTTCAGGTTTTTTTTGGTCCAATCCAAAGCCCAGCTAACAGCATATTTTCTGGTTCGCGTCTCATTTTAAATGGCAGTTCGTTTATAACAAAATAGAGAGGCCACATTGATGTTTTTGAACTTTTAAACAGTGGTACTCCATCTGTATTCCATAAAAACGACATATTGTTAGGATTTGATAAGACATTATCGAACTTCATGTAATGCTTTCCATCGTAAATATCCTCAATATTGCCTGGTATTTTCTTTTTCCTATTAAAGCGAAATGTCAACGATTTCCTAAAGTCTTCTTCATACTCAAGTTTCTCAACTTGGTTTACTAATGGAACTTCCACAAAAAAAAACTTTTATCCATTTTTTTAACGAAAGTTTTTCTACACATTGGATTCTGACAGTAATGTCATCAATAGCCAAGAGACAAAACGAGCAGTACGAATGTTTTTTTTGGGCGTTATCTTCAAATCTTGAAACCATTGTTTGAAAAAATGGACTGAAGTAGGAATTGTGTTTTTCTGTTTACAGTGCATTGATACCAGGTCCAACAGATCAGCAAAACCATCACCATCTAGATTATGTTCTAAAACATATGTCATTATCCACAGCATGCTCGCTCCTGTTGTCAAATCAGCTCCTTCATATATGGGGGTATTAGGAAAATTTTCTTCATCGGTGAGAGTTTCCTCTTGTTCTTCCTCGAAAAATAAAGAATATGTTGTTTCTGATAGGTAGTCCTCAGAAAAAATTCACTTTCAACATCTGATGATCCTGAGCTTGATTCTATACAATCCTCTATTTCCATGCCAACATCATGTTCATCAATATTCACATTCCCTACCTCGGTTGCGTCAACGCTAGTGTCGCTCGAATGTGAAAGTAAATCATGCAAATTATCATCAGTCTCAACATCATAAGGATCTTCTTCAGAAACACCACCTTTAGTACCAAATCCAGACACCTCATCAGTTTCAAATGTATCTTTTATCGATGTACTATCATTTATGTTGACATCTCCAGGTTGACCCATTGCAGCAACAGATTTTTTAAAAGAAGATGGTGCATTTTCAAGAGAGTCCCTGTCAGTTAAATAAGTCCGATATACAAGTCCAGACTTTCTAACCCTTTTCTTTGGTGGTTTTTCCGACATATTTCTTCTCAAGTTTTCATTTGACCCCAGGATTATTTAACTGAAGTTGCCTTTTGTTATCTTTGGCTGGCGAAGAAATCGCTCTGTAAAATAAAAAAAAATGGTTTGTTATTTATCTCAAATTCAGTCCGATATAACAAATATTTTACCAAGTATTTTAAGAGCATAGTACATCATCTGTTGTTTTCAAAATACAAATGTCTTTAAAAAGATACGTGTCTTATAAACGCACAAACGCCCGCGTATACATACCATTTAAGAATTTTACCCCCCCCCCCCAAATGTAATCGATTTCCTCCAGTTTTGAACACAAAACAAATAAATTATTTTAAAAAATTGTATTTGTATATAATGCAGATAAAAAGAAAGGTAAAAACGAAAAACAGTCAACATCAATAGGGGGCCCTTAATAATCTTATGATCGACCTCTGTCTGACGACTGATCTGACCCCGCAAGACATTCACTAATCAAATTATGTATTGCTGTGTTGTTAAATGATTATCATAGGATGCTAGATTTAAGTAAATAAATAATGTTAGAAAAAAATTCCTTTACTATAAAAAATTCCACAAATTTCAGTAAAATATTGACGCAAATACTTACATCCTTTACTAGATTTTATTATATAATAAATATGCTGTAATTTCAGAAAGATCTTATGTTATGAATACAAATGTTAATCATAATTTATTTCTTATAGTAAGTGACTCCGTTTAACTGCAAAGTAATGAGGATAGTAGATCAGCTTATCGGGCAAGGCACTGCACAGCAGGAATGCAATTAACAGCTTTCCTTTGTTTACCAAGTTGAACTCGATCTCTAATGGTCATCTTGCCCCCCCCCCACACTTCCTGTTTGGTTTTCTGCCACTATCTCATACTGCTTGTGTATAATTAAATATGACATATATACATAGTACTTTCTGTAACTTTTCAATGATCATAATATTTATTCTAACTTCCGAGTTGCAGCATTTTACTGACAATTATAGATCTATAGAGCATGGATTAAAAAAAAAGATGAATTTTTGTTACAATAGTTTAAAAAAATGACTTTCATTAAAAAAATAATAAATTTGATATCAGTTTTAAATCTGATCAGTTGAATGCTAATGTCTCAATTTAGTCTAGTCCCATTAATGCAATTATCCTAGTATCTATAAGTTACAATTTCATACAGGGTATGATTTTTTATGTCATCCAGCTTTAATTTATTTTTAAGTATTCAAATTTAAGCTGTAAGAATGATTGAACATGTTAGTACTGAACGTTTATGCATCCAAAATAAAGACTTGACAACGGGGGGGGGGGGGGGGGGGTCCGTCAAATTATTTAATTTTAATAGGAATTAATTAATCACCAGCATTCAACAAAGACATTTATAAATCACTAAGGGAAAGTTTGATCGACAAGTGCAAAGAAGAGGAGGTGGCTGACAAACACCAAACTGTTTACTATTCGGGTTGGGGGGGGGGGGGGGGGGTTACCATTTACATCATAAGTCAAAGGCATTAAATCAAGTTGAGGACATTTAAACATATAATTTTTTACTAGTGTTTTTTTCAAGAAAAGATTTATTTGTAAGATTTTTTCTAGGAAAGATTTATTTCTAAGATTTTTTCAAGGAAAGATTTACTTCTAAGATACCTTCCAAAGACACTATAGTGCAAGTAGTATAAGGGGTCTAGCCGGCGAGGTCAACTGAGTGCACTTTTTATGCAAATGAGGTTCAAAAATGGGTCAACTGAGTGGAGTGCTAACCCTAACCCCTAGCCCCCTAACCCTAACCCTAACTAACCCTAACCCTAACCCTAACCCTAATTAGCGTCTTGATGACACTTTTTGTAACATAACTTTTAAGTCTTTTTATATTATTTTAAACGTGTTTTAGAAATTTTTTGAGATTACAAATTAATAGTTTTCAACCCATTTAACAAAAATAAATTGTTATTTATACCTAACTCTAGGTTTAAATAGGTAACCCTAGGGTCTGAAAAATCAAAAGTGTAAAATGTAACATAAGTCATTTGGTCTTGATAACGAACGGGGTTAGCGGGTTCAATATTGGGTTTAGGAGTGTAGCTAAACCCCTCAATGGTTTGTTTCAAAACCTATTCTAACCCCATGCAAGAAAAAAACCTCATAAAAATCGAATAAAAAATTTCATGTCTGGGGGTATATCCAACTCCACATTTTTCTCATGGTTTTGAAAATTCTTAACGTCTTATGCCATAAAATGCTTAAAAACCGGCAGATTTCGATAATTTTTGGAAATGTTGTAGATATTTGGGTGTTCTTGGGTGTAGCTAACTTAAAATTCGCAAAAAATGAGTTTCTTGAAAAATATCCCTTACCCTAACTTTTTTAGCAAATTTTTAGTTATGTTACATTTTACACTTTTGTAATCCTAACCCCCTTAGTAATTTATGGGGGTACAGAAAAAATCTTTGTGGGTCCTAAAAGCATTTTTCAAACTCTACAAAAGAGGCATAATTTTTTGTGGCTATGTGCATCTCTAAGAAAATAACGAGGGTTTGAAAAGTGTAAAATGTAACATAACTTTTTAGATCATATAAAGAGAGTTTGGTCTTGGTCTGGGGTTAGGTCTAAATATTAAGGTAGGTCATAGCCCTTATTAGAGGACATTGTTATGGTGACAAACACAAACTGTAGCGTTTTCTA